CCCCCGGCACTCGAGCCTCAAGACGCAACCAGAAGTTTCAGAGAACAGTCGCATTGAGCACCGGGGCCATTAGTCAGTGAGGACCTGACTCTACCCATGCAGCGAGGCACCAACTCGGCGAGCTCCCAAATAAGGTCCTCCAACCTTGATGAAAAGGTTGGCAAACAGTTGTTACATTCAAAGAACTGGGGCTGAAGTTGGGCCACGTATGCTGACCAGTCTGCTTCAAAACATCTCATGCCTGCTCATAATTGGCTTCAGTCATGTCTAGAGAGCTCCACAAAGACTTCGAGAGATTTCCAGAGTGATCTTCTATAATTAGGGGACTGTTGGGTTAAGTGGATCTCAGTGTAACTCTGGCGGCCTATTATTTTATGGCTTTGGCCAGAAAATCAGCTGCAGAATATGAAAGGCATTTAGAGACATTTTCTATAAGAAAGAGAAAAACTATTAAGGAAATAATAATTTCTGTCCCATATTCTCTTTTTCTGTGGCAAGAGAAGAGATGCAGTGGGGGGGAGTGTTCCCAAACTGTTGTTCCTTAAACTTTCTTTCCACGGTAAATTGATGAGTGTTGCTTTTAAAAAGCTATTCATGACCAGGCTGGCCGGGTGGCTCAGTTGGTTGGAGCATCATCCTAAAGACCAAAAATTTATGGGTTCAATTCCTGGTCAGGGCACATACCTAGGTTTCAGGTTCGATCCCCGGTCCAGGTGAGTATGGGGGACAATCAATAAGTGTTTCTCTCTCTCTCCTCCCCACCTTTCTTCTCTCTAAGAAATCAATAAACATGTCCTTGAGTGAGAAAATAAGTAATTAAATAGTAAAAAATGAAAAGCCATCCATGTCCTTACAAAGTTAAAGTACCCAGATGGACTACCCTGGTCATTTAATAGAGCGAACTGAATGGCTCGTATTCAAGAGGGGGGCACTGCATGCAGAATTCCCCAGGGAGCTCTTGGTACCAGGAACATTTCTCTGGTCTTATGGGGTAATGCTACTCAAGAAGATTCTTTTCATAGCCACCTTGCTGTGAGGCGGGTACATTTAACAAGGTTTATTCTAGAGGCGGCCTGTGTCGAATCTAAGAGCTCATAAGAGTTTCGGATCACCTGGTGGTCTTCTGAAATTGAACCTATGAAGAGATTATGTAGGGAGGCTCAACATTCCCACCAGCTTTCTCCTCAGACCATCTCACGGACTCTGTGAGAGGCCTGGCTGATGGCAGAGAGTCATTCTGTTGGAGACGATGGATTTTAATTCATGGGTTCCCTGAATTACAGTCTGTTCTAGTCATTGTAACCAACCCTTGAAATACAGGATGGAAATCAGTGCACCATTTCCACCATACTTTCCTGGCATTTTCATGTAAAGTATTAAAGTTATTTGGAGGAGTTTAATCAATGTGGGAAATATTTCTTATTAAAAAAATTCATGTATTTCTTGATTTCTAAAGGTCTAGATGAAAGACTAGCAAACTTGTGGAGAGGGCCAGAGAACAAATATTTCAGGCTTTCTGAGCCATAGGACCTCAGCTGCAGCATCACCTCTGCCACTGCAGTGTGAAAGCAGCCACAAACAACACATCAAACTGCGTGTGGCTGTGTTCCTGCAAGACTTTATGTACGGAAACAGCCAGCCAGCAGGATTTCACTGGATGGGCGTAGTTTGTGAACCTCTGGTCTAGGTAACGGTGTTCAGGGAGAATGGCCACTGTGTGATGAAATACATAGTCTATTTCTCCCAATTCCCGGTAAAGGTTAATGGGCAAGCATGGGATAAAGAAGTATCTGGATAAAAATACTTGGGGGTTTGAAAGTTCAGATCCAATCATAATAGAAAACAAAGATGTTTTTCTTCCAATCACTGTTTTGAATCCAAACTTGAAACTATACTCCTGTTATAAAACAATGTTCCATCGTGTCATTGTTCTACCCTAACTTTCTGATTCCTGGTTGACAGAAACTTATTTTTTTCTTTGCTTTAAGCACGTCAGTGAAAGATATCATGTAAACCCAAGGTAAAATCAAGATGGTCACGACAAGGAGGCCTGGGATTAGAGGCAGATGGGACTTGACCTGAAGACGGAGGAAACAGAAGTCAAGTTTCCATAGTAGTAATCAAGTAGTATCCACTTTGTCATTTTAACACAGGACTGATGCCTCTGGTCTCAATGCTAATTGTGATCTTAAACTAATATAAACACATCAGTATCCCATAATTATCCTGACAGTGTTTAAAGATCTCACCTAGCACGTTAGCAATTTGTCAGATTCTCCAAAAATGTGTTCAAATATCTTTAGGTTCAAATATCTTTTACACAATATGTCACCCAAAAGAACAACTATTCCCCATCTTCCACCTCATGCCAATTTACAGAAATTAGCAGATTTGGCCTCGCTGAGACCCATTTTTGTTAGTATAACTGAAAACATGCTTGCAGCCAAGTTGGACAAGTTCCACATTGAGAGCAAGCACTGGTTCCTCACCAGCACTTGGGTAATTAGTTAAAAGTTCATGAAAATTATGGCAAATGAGTAAGAGCACATGGTCCTATGATTTCATGTGGAACCGAAATCACAGGACTGTCATCGCTCAGTGCAAAATTAATAAAAACACAAGCATCCCTTGTTCCACAGAAGTTGAATTGCTCTCAGTCGCAAGTTAAAGTCACACATTCATCCTTTGGAACCTCTTTTCCACCCTCCCTTGCCACACAATCTGGTGTGGGAATGTATTGCATATCTCAAAATGTCAAATTCTCTGCATTGTATTTTCTGTTGTCAAACTGTACTAACTAGCTACTATCTGACAGTAACCATCTGGAGGGGCGAAAATACCATTTTGATGCGCAAAGAATGTACCAAATCATTATGAAGAGGGAAGTCAACACAATTTATGTGCTAATTCGTATCAATTATTAGCTAATTAGAAGCAAAACGCTGCAGCTTGGAGCACTGGGAAAAAGATGACCATGACCATAGAGGAGATTACAGGATTAAGCAGGCCATTATTTTTCATTAAGTCTTTTAGCAGATTGTGGGATATGCTCCAAAGCTGGCTTTCTCTGTGAACCTTGTGCATTTTCTCACCTGTGACTGTTTACAGACAAGTATCCTGATTTCTGCTACCAAAGGATTTCCTTAGAGCAATGAGGGCTGGGCAGGGGTTCCCTCTAATTTTCACTATGGCAGGGAGCCACCGTTCCCCACGGAAGTGTTCCCAGGAGGCTCTCACAGCATAAACAGGTGCCAGCCAAAGTGTCCCTGAAAGGGATTAAGGGGACACAGGCTGAAATTCCACCTTGGAGCCAAAATGTATCCCAAAACTCCCCAGAGAGCAAAGCTCAGCAGCAACCGCAGCTTTTCTTGCCACAGTGTCATACCCCTCTCTCTGACATAGGTCACTTCCCCATCGAAGCCGTAACACAGAGGGTGCCTCTAGCTAGGAATTACCCGGCCACTGACCCTCTTTATGCATCCAGCATGTTTCCAGTGAATGGCTGCTATGTCCCAAGAGTGAGTCCAAGGGGGAAGGATGTGAGCCATAATATTGTATCCGCAGTACTGAGTTCTTCAGTTGGATATCTTTCCCCAATTATTCCTGACCATCGCCACTTTCCCGATCACAGTGTTCTTCCTTAACTGTGAGCTACACGGCACCTAAATCAGGGCAGAGTTTCTTAACAATCCCCACCCTGAAAAATCTGACAAACCTTTTTTGGAAGAACTTCATTTCTTCCAAGGAATTCCCGAAGAAGCTTACATCCCCCAGAGAATGAAAAGGCATAGAGAACACATGTGGCAGTGTCTGTCTTGTTTATAAAGGAGATTCTAGTTATTTTCTCCCAAGACCTTCCCGGTTTTTGTGTGCAGAAATCCTAAATTTCAGAAAGTCTTTCCTTTCAACTCTGACTCCAAGACTTTTCTACTCTCTTTTAAGTTCATTTATGTTCATCTCAGAAGAGTGTTGAAAAATCACACACATCCTTAGAAACAGTCACTATCTGGGGTAGTTGCCCATATAGCCTACCAAGATTTGTGAGTGCCTTGCCCTAGCTGGTTGACAGAATGTGGATTCCAGGGAATCAGGGAAAGTCATAGTCAAGGAATCAGTTTAACTAGACTGACATTCCCAGGAAACACGTGGTAAATGGGGCCCATGGAAGCACTTCCTTCCTGCTATTAAAGCTTCTGTGGATGTTCCCCCATCTCACCCCCTTAGATTCAGATGGAAGGTATATCAGCAATCGGAACCCAAGATTCAAAGCTAAATAAGGCAGCCCTCCACACTGATGGTTTCGTTTCTAAGCACCTAGTTATCCCTAAGAGGCAACGTGCCTAAACAATGGTGTTGGTGTGAGAGAACGCGGCCTCCCCCAGGACTCAGTTCATGTCCGTTCACCGGGCTGCGCCCTCCCTCCATTCCCTCTCTCCCTCCTGGACTCTGGCTGCCTTTCCCCCGGCTTCTGCAGCATTTCCGCCAAACTGCAACACTTATCAACCAGCCTCCTCCTTGGGGGCGTATTGAATGTCAGACGAAAACACTGCAGAATTGGACCAGCAATTATTTATCTCTGCAGTCATTTCTAATGATAAGAGCAAGCCGGTGTTTGCTCATGGCCTTGGAGATGATGAAGAGGAACTTGAATGTCATTGCTTGATTTTCAGCAGCCTGGGAACAGAATGTGATCTGTAAGCTGCATGGTCCAAAGAACACAAAAGGAGACACAAGCCAGCCTGGCACTTATGCTGAGCTTAGCTGGCTGTTTACGAAATCATGCTGTTCAAGATCTCCTCTCGGGTTGTCTTCTCCAAGGTGGCTCTTTGCCGGCCCTAACTCACGGAGCAGGGGAACTCTGCGGACACAGCAAGCTGAAGGGTCAAACAATGACCGGACGGAGCCTGTGATGGAGAGCCTTAGGCGACGGCCAGTCACCCAAAGGCACATGTCAGCGGCTACAGCGTCTTAGTTGGGCCCTGTACGTGTATTAGAATAACTGACCCCTCCATTTCAGACTTAGCAATGCCCTAGAAGTTTGGTGTCCAGCCACTGGCTGAAGAGGCCATGTCTGAGCCATCCCCCTGTGGCCTTGGTAAACCAGCTGCCCCGCTTGGCCATCAAGAAAGTCAGTTGGCCACCATACCGCACACTGAGTCTTCCAATCCTTCATGTCCCACAATTTTTCCCTTAAAGCGGTCATATGTGTCACACTAGGAGTTCAGCAGCACCCACCTCACTATTTTGGAGGACAGATGCATTGACTTTTTTTTATTCACTCATTTACACATCCATTCAACAAACAGTTATGGAGACATTGAACTGGGCGCCCATGACACAGCAATAAATAGGGTAACTTCTACTCTGGTTGGGGAGACCGATGCCGGACAAATAAGGAGTGCGAAGAGAAAAACTGGTGGTAGCCACCTTAGATGAGGGAGCTTACAACCCCAATTTGAGAAGAAATGGGAAGGATCAGGAAATCTACACCAATGTATGAGACCTCGCTGTCCTTGGGTGAATCCTTCACCCTGCCCAGGAGAGGGACACCACGCCGGGGGTTGGTAAAGCTCTCCTTCCTCCAGCTGCTCTCGCGAAGGCGCACCCCTGGCCCTGAGGCTGCCATCTCTTATTCCAAGTGAGTTCCAGCCCCCGCAGAAGACTGGCGCTGCTGGGCCAGGAGAGGCTGCGGGCGGGAACCACAGGGACACACGGCTCCTGCCTTTGCCCCCTGAGCAGCATCCGAAGCCACCTCCTCTCGAGTCACCCTTGGTGCATGGGTCACCCTCCCTCTCCTCAACCCCGACCCAGAGAGAGAGGACAGCCAGTTAGCCAGGCTTCTCCGCGAGGGCTCTGGAAAAGGAATCCTTCTGGCCAAAAGTCCTCATAGCACGCTGTTGTTATTAACCACCGTCCCTGAGAATGTTCCATCATGGACAGCCAGCGCCCTACGCAGAATGATGGGAGCACCGTCCGGTCCGCACCCAAGCAGACCTCCTGCGGGGCTGCGCTACCTTCATTTGGCATCAACCGGGGGCGCTCGCTAGCTCTTCCATGGCCTAGGCTATGGGGTGAGTTATTCTAAATAAATTTAGGTCGCTTATGACAAGGACGCACATGTGCTTTGTTTCTTTTTAGACAGTTCTGTTCTCTAAAAAAACTAGGGGGGAAGCCAGTTTTAAAATCCTTGGAGGCTTTTCTCCATTTGGAGATAACTTTCTGTTTCAGCCTCACTTTGTGACTTAAGTTGCTTCAGAAATATTTTACCCTGTACCCTGGATTGTGTGGCTCAGTTGGCTGGGCATCATGCCATGCACCAAGAGGCTACTGGTTCGATTCCTGGTCAGGGCTCATGCCCGGGTTACAGGCTCGGCTCGATCCCAGGTGGGGGGCATGCAGGAGGCAGCCAGCCTTTCAATGTTTCTCTCTCTCAACCTCTCCTTTCCTCTCTCTCTAAAAATCTATTTTTAAAAATTTGTTAAATATATATATTTTTTAACCCTCAAATGACCAATGTGTTTTCAAAATGAAAAAATCAATGTGCTCATCAAACCCTTTCAACAATAGATATATTCTGTAATCTTTACATAATTAAAATAGAATTAAAGAAAAGACAGGTTATACCCAATTAAATTTGAATTTCAGATAAATAAATAACTTTTAATATGACTACTTCAAAAATTGCATGGGGGATGCTTATACTAAGAAAATACTCATTATCTGGGCTGTATTTCTATTTGCTAAGCCTGGCAACCCTGCCCCAAAGAAAAGATCTGAATCCCTGACAGTCCCACCTCACCACCTTCACTCCATTTCTGACTGAAGCCCAGTCTTCAAAAGTAAATGGGAATACTGATCAATGTTGAGAAGAAAATTTAAATCACTTGGTATTGAAAAGGGTGGAAAAATACAGTTGCCACTGGCCAGGTACATAGGGAATTAGGCAACTTGTGTGAAATCTAGACATGCAAATTAGACAACCACCATGCTCATTTTCAAAGACTTCTACCTTGCACAATTGAAACCTAGAATGTTTGAGTGCTTAAGCCATAGAAGGTAAATCTTAAATTTCCAGAATCTTAAAATAGCTACGGGGAACCACGCTCACATTTTATTTTCGTATTTCTACTCATTTGCTTAACCTTACCTAATCCATTTTCTCTCTTTCCCTGCAGTTACCTGAACAAGAACAAATACCTGACAGTTATTGACAAAGACGCATTTGGAGGAGCACACAGTGGGCCAACCTTGCTGTGAGTGAGACGAACAAAAGAATATGTCGGTCTAATTTTTCTTTTCTTTCTCTGGGAGGTGGGTGTTAGGAGGAGCAGCTGATGCTCATGGGTAGAGCACGTGGTTGGCTTGGAAAAAGCCTCCTGCTAGTGCTTTTCTGCCCAGCTGCAGAGGCTGCTGGCTAGAAGGAAGTCCTGGTTCTTTGAGGCTCAGAAGGCCCCACCCCACGGGGCCATCCCGGTGCCTCACCAGGCAGCCAGCTTGGTGTGGACCCGCATGGAGGCCCTCTCAAGGGAAAGACAGGCACTCCTGAATAGTTGCTATTTGCAGAATTCTGAGACGTGAGGTCTGCACATAGGTGGAAGGCACTCCAGTCTGCACGGAAAGCATATGTGAACGATGCCTGGCGCAAAGGAGGAACATAGTTGTATTCCTGTCTGGAAGAACTTATCGCTGGGGAAGATGGGATGTGGCCATTTTTAAAAACAGCATGGAAAGAAGTGCCCATGTGTGCATTTCCCCTGATGTACACCTCCCGGTGCAGTCGGGGATCAGGGCCTGTCGATCCCACCTCCCTCCAGCCTCTCCTTTGGTTTGGCCTTGGCTTAGAATCTCATCGCTGAGCATCTAGTCAAGTCCTTGCCAACACGGAACACAGCACCCTGGAGAAGCCTGAGCCAATCCGGTAGCGGCAAAAGGAAATAGTAGAGGCTCTAGGTATATTTGTGTTTTTAAAAATAAGAATAAATTAAGTTTCACTGATATTTTATGCACAGATGGCAGCTATCCCTCAAGTGTCAGGGAAGGAATGGATGCATCCCCAGGGAACGGTGGATGATTCAGTCTCAAGGACTTACTCTCACTCTCACTTTTAACGAATCTACTTCACTTTTAGGACAAATTGACCCACTTACTTGGGTTTATGGCCATATTCTCTCGAAACATAGGATCCATGTAAGAGGGCAGAGCGACCCTGAAAATCTACTGAATCACATGGAGACTCGTTGTAAATTCATGGCAAATACTTAAAAAGTATTTTGCATTCTTCTTTCTCCAAAAAGGCAGATGAAAGAAATGTGTGTTGACCTTTTCTGAGATTTTTTTTAACCTGAAAGATATATATTTTTAATCCTCACCTGAGCATATGTTTTTATTGATTTTTAGAGAGAGAGGAAGGGGGAGAGAGAGAGGGCACAGACTAGCTATGTGCCCTGGTCGGGGTGCGTGCGGGAGGCAACCCATCAATGTTTCTCACACTGATGTTTCTCTCCCCCTTCCTCTCTAAAATTAATAAACATATCCTCGGGTGAGGGTAAAAAAATAAAAATAAAAAAATAGGTCCATGCATAATTTTAATAAAAATTAAAATCAAATTTAAAAGGAAAGCCACAAGCATAGGAAGAGAGCACAATGGAGAGGCCGGTAGGAGGAAGGCAGGAAGTGACGGAAGACGAGCCCAGGCCCGTTCTGCAAATTCCAAGCAGTTTCCTTAAAATGCATTTGTTAACTAATTAGGCACTGAAGTAACATCACTTTAATTCTTGTCTTGAACTCTTGTCAGAATCTGTATTACTTTATTTCCTACATACCTCCTCATAACTAGATCCTAAGATCCTAGAGGAAATGGACTATGTCATATGCTTTTTGTGATTCCCCCCCTTCAAAACAGAAGAAAGCAAATGTACAATAGATATTTAATAAGTTGTAACCGAATATCAAACAGCCACAGTCAGGTTGTGACTTGACGTAAAAGCCAAACTTGGAAAAGCTTAAACTTCATCTAGAAAGAGAATTGAGTGGCATATGTATTTCTGCCTCCTAAAGGTATTTATGAAAAAATACAGTCATCTCTAATGGTTGGCAAAAAGAAACTTGCCCTCTTAGTTTACCACCTTCAGTCAACATTATTTCTCAGGAAAAGATATAATTTTAAATGGGCATCACATCTAAAGTAAGATTTATTCTCCAATGTTTGCTATTTTTTTTAAAAAGCCTTCTTAATTTTGTTTAATAACATTTTTACTTACTGATTTTTAATCAAGATGTGCAATCTCACTTTCTATTTTTATACTTTCTATTTTTTCTTGTCTTCTTTTCTTTTAATCTTATTTTGAAAGAGAAGCTCTTGGTGTTTATAATCCCAAAGAAGAGAGCACCCTGAAATGCAATGCCTTCCATAAAAACCAGGGCTCTCTAAGGTCTAAATTATGTAACCCACACTAATAAGTATGAACTTACTGTTAAAAATGACTTTATGATGACAGTCCCCCTTACTATTATAAGTATCTCCTAAGGAGGAGAAATTTCTGATAATATCCTTGAGTTTACATTACATGTATCAATAAAAATAAACTTCAAAATGAACTTGTGTTCTTTGAGCTGATGAATGGAATCATTTGAAAATCTAAGGGTCATGGCACTGCCACCTTGGTTTACAGAAAAAATAAGCCTTTTAGGTTTTTCTTTCTCACTCTTAATGATCATCACAGGATCATACAGTCAGTTAGATGACTGAAAAATTGTGGCTGGGTTCTTTTGGGCATTCCAACGTGCACAGGTGTGTTAAACACATGATTTCCTCGGTTGCTCATTTTTTATTGAAGTATAATCTATATACAATAGCATGCGCACTTTTCAAGCGTACAGTTTGGTGAGTTTTAACAAAACTATGTTACTCTACCTCAATCAAGGCTTAGGAAACTTTTATCACCCAGAAAGTTCCCTCGTGCCCCACTGTTCCATAGACACCTACACATATTATTTTTCTAGTGTGAAAACCTAAGAGTAAAATTGTCAGGTCGCAGGATAAATGTGTGTTTAACTTTATTGGAAATACTGCCAAACTTTTCCAGAATGGCTGTCCCATCATCTGTTCACACCAGTGAGGTATGTGAGTGGCTGGCTGGCCGACCCATTGCATTGTCCGTCTTTTTTGATTCTAGTCATTGAATGGGTATGAAGTGGTATCTCATTTTTGAGTGGTTTCACTTTGTGTTTCCCTGATTATTAATGATGGTGAGCATCTTTTCCTGTACGTATTAGCCATTTGTATATTTTCTTTTGTCAAGTGTCTGTTCAACTATTTTACCCATTTTTAAAGTTGGGTTGTTTGTCTTTTTATTATTGAGTTGTGATCCTGCGTAAAGTTTCTGGCCTAAATAAAATCAGTTTTCGTCCTAACTACCAGCTCTCCCCATCCCCTCCCCCTTTCCCTTTCTAAGAAGAAATGGCTAATCTGCAACAAACTTGTGCAAGGTGTTCATTTACTCACTTATTCTACAGGCATTCTACTGAGCACCTACTGAACACCAGGAAAGTTAGAAGGATACCACACAACCTCAGTCAAATTCAGGAGAAATGTGAATAACTAACTGCACTACACGTTTAATGTACAAAGAGCCATCAGAGATATTAGAGAATGAAGATACCATTTCTGGTTAGGAGAACCGGCAAAGGCCTCATTTAAGGAGGTGATATTTGAGATGGTCTTTAGGTGAGGGGTAGAATATCAACAGAGAGAGAGTTAAGAGAGAAAGAACAAAAGGTAAATCTAAGGCAAACATGGGATGTGTTCAAAGAACCACAAAAAAGAGATAGAAAGGGGGGGGGAGGGGGGGGCAAAACAAAACGAAAAAGCCTGGAATTTCCAAAACAGTCACAGGGATGTAAAGTACAGCGTAGGGAATACAGTAAATGATATTGTAATAACTATGTATGGTGCCAGTTGGGCACTATATATATCAGGGGAATCACTTCATAAGTTAAAGGAATGTCTAACCACTGTGCTGTACACCTGAAACTAATATTATATTGAATGTCAACTATAATTGGAAAAAATAAAAAGGAAAACATAATTTGGGCCAAAGGATATAGTCTAAAAGTGTGTTGTGTTGAAATCATATTTTGAGGAATATGACCTGACTCAGCAGGGGGTTGAGCCATTGAAGGGTTACCATGGAAATATTGGTAATGGTTGCAAAACCCGTTACAGTGCGTGGCTCTCTTCACCTCACCGCCATGCCTTCTTCCCTTCGCCTCTGCCGGCGCTCATCCCTGACTCTGTTAGTTCTGGATACCTCTGTCCCAGCACCGCTCCAGGACTGCTCGTCTGTACCTCCCGGCTAACTGGCAGGCACTGGACCTCCCTCAGGCAGAGGGAACTCAAGCCTGAAGACCTAATACCTGGAGTTCCCTGTCGTCCTTTCTGTGCTTGCTGAGCGAAGCCTTCAGAGCAGCTGTCTTGGAGAGGAAGGGAACCTCCTAGGGATGGAAACCAGAGGAGGTCTCTCTGCCATGCTGCTCTGCTCATGGACTGTGAAATGAATCGCAAAGATAAACAGACTTTTGCAGTTCCCCTTTGGGCACCAAGCCAGACTCATGCCAAGGGGCCAAGTTGCCGAGGAAGCAACCAAAGCAGGTTGTCATCCTGAGTCATGTCTTCAGAGGCACAGCAAAGGAGAGGGCCTACAACCATTTCGTGGAGTCTTGGAGAGCTTCGGGGGCATCACAGAAGAATTTGCATAGAAAGAACAATCACCTTTCCAGCATTGTGTGCATGCTGGCTTCTTGCTGGGAACAAGAAGATGGTCACTCTAGCACTAGGAAACTTCAGACCAGAGAAGTTTTGTCAACAGCTGAAGATAATTGATCAGTAATATCATTTACTACCATAGCCGATGTGAGAAAAATGATTAATACTGTTAATGATATGGTTGCTTTTTATAACTATAGAGAAATTTGCTGAGCATTTCCCAATGAGGGGGCTGGCTCTTGATGGGAGAGAGTTATTGCAAATATCAAAGTCATACAAACCTTTATGATTCTTCAACTGACTCAAAGTGCAATTAGTATCATCCTCAAACATTTTTTTACTTTCAAAAACAGAAGTTCTCCAGAGCACTGGTCTTCTTTTTATCTGTATCTCCATTCATTTCCTTGGTGATCTCATCCAGACATATGACTGCATAGTGCCCATGCTACCCAAGTAGAAATCTCCAATCCAGATGCCGGTCCCAAATTC